CCGATGAGCGCCAGCACCTTGCAATAGTTCTGAGGGAGGGGTGGAGGGAGGGAGGAGGGAGGCGGCGGGGTGGCGGCGCTGAGGCGACGGCCCACACTTCGTCCGCACTGTGACTGCACGCCTGGCAGGCTGCTATGAATAAGGCGACGTCGACGTCGGCATCGCCGCTCAAGCACTTGCCAAAGTGGCCGGCCGAAATTCGCAGCGGCCGCGCGTCGGCCAGCATGTTTGGCTCCCCTTCGCCGCGGGGAGACGGAGGCGGCACAGGCGTGCCGCCTCGGAGCCGCTCGCGAGAGAGCTGGCGCGAGAGGTGCGGCGGTGGCGGGGGGCTGCCTTTCTCCGCGGACGGCACGCCGGAGTGGGGAATCTTCTCTGCCTGCAACGCATGGAGCATCGCCAGTCCCGCGTGCACCGCAACGAGCAAGCGCCACAGCAGTGCTGCAATAACGAGGAGCGTGAGCTCGATGACAGGAACAGCCGGGATGTGGATGGTGACGCCAGAAACGTGGGACGCCGTCGTCGGCATGGCAGAGGAGGCAGAGGAGCAGTCGTCCATATGTTGTTTGGTTCTCGGAGGAGGCAGAGGAGGCACAGGCACAGCCGGGATTTGGTGGTGTCTCCCGCGTCCACCGCGAGCGGTTCTTCACGAGGTTGCACGCTCCCCGCCGGCCTCATCTTGTTCCGGGCCTGCTGTGAACAGAGTCCCCTACCTAGAGTCCCAAGCAACAGCTCTCCAGGACCCCCCGGTGCTGGGGTGCTGCCAGCAACCATGATTTCCCAACAACAAACCTACATGTAGAATTCCTACAACCAACTCACCGGCGAGCGGAGCGAGCCGAAGAGCTGGGGAAAAATTGGCGTCGTTTGAACCGATGTTTCGGCGGGCACGTCGGAGATATTTTGTTTGTTTCACGGACGTCGCACCTAAGCGGCCGCCAGGCAGGCCCAGCCAGCAGCAGGGTACCCTCGGATGCCGACGAAGATCACGGTGCGCTATCTGGGCTCGGATGCCATTGCGGTGTGCGGTTACATCGGTGTGCCGATTACGATGGTGTGCCATCCCCCCCCCCCCCCTCGCCCGGATACCGTCATATGTCTGCCCCGGCTCCGCTTGCGCCGCCTCGGCTCCACCTTCTTCGCAGCTGCTCCCTCCACAGACACGCCGCCGCCCGCCCGCCTCCTCGACCTCCTGACGGAGCTCCTCGTGTGCGTCATCTCCCGCTGCGACCC